GTCCCTCAGATGATAGAATTGAAAGATAGGATTATTTGTGCAAGCATTTCTTGAAGTCCATGAAGTTTTTCCTCTTCTGGTGGAAGAAATTTTGTTTGTTTGAAAGGCAGAGTGACGTGGGTAGGGAGGGGGAGAGAAAGGGCAGAGATCTTCTATCTGCTGGTTCATTCCCCAAATGCCTGCAAGCCCCAGGGTTGGGCCAGGAACTGCGTCCAGGCCTCCCAGGTGGGCGGCCAGGGCCCAAGTCCTTGGACCATCACCTGCTTCCTCGGGTGCATCAGGGAGCTGGATCAGAAGCAGGAAACCTGGGACTCAGATGGGGACTCTGCTTAGAGGATGCCGGCATTGTAGGCAGAGGCTTAACCCGTCGCACCCTAACACTGGCCCCTCATGCACAGAAATACTAAAGATAGTGTAGAAAACTACCTTCAGGCTGGGCGTAGAAGATGCGTAGGAAACGGTGAGCTTTGTGTTCAGATGTGCGTTCCCGCCTCCTCTGGTTATACATAGGCAAATATTCCAAAAATCAATGTATAAAATTTGACATGCCTCTGGTTTTAAGCATTTTGGGTCAGGGGTACTCCGCTTGCATTTCCCTTTGTGGTTGTTAGCAATTGAATTCAATAAGTCTGCTAAAGGGTTCAGTACAGTTCCTAAGCACTAAGTATTATGTTATAAGCTGTTACTTTGGGTCTTATTCGTAGTATTTTTCAGGCTTCTCAAACTTTCATGTGTAACTCGGGGCAACCAGAAAGTCTGAGGTCGGACCCTTCACCAGCTGTGGGGGGAATCCATGCACGAGAGTGTGTGTGCGTGCACAGTGCAGTAAATCCCTCGTCGAGGCTGGTACAGTGGCATAGGAGGGTAAGCCACTGCTAGGGACGACAGCTTCCCATATCCAAGAGCTGGCTCGAGTCCTGGAACAGCTAGCCTCCTGCTACTGTGCCCAGGATGGCAGCAGTGATGGCGCAAGTCCTCGAGTCCCTGCCAGCCCTGTGAGACCCAGCTGGAGTTCCCGGCCCGGCCATGGCTGTTGTGGCCACTTGGGGAATGAGTGAGCACAGGAAGAGCTCTATGCTCTCTCCCTGTGCTTGCCCCCCCCCCCCCCCCCGTCACTTTGCCTTTGAAGTCCATGAATATGGGGCCGGCATGGTGGCAAAGCAGGTAAAGTTACTGCTTGTGAAGCCAGCATCCCATATGGACGTCAGTTTCTGCCTTGACTGCTCTGCTTCCGATCCAGCTCCCGGCTAATGGCCTGGGAAAAGCAGAGGATGATGACTGAACTACTTGGGCCCCTGCCACCCTGTCAGACCCGGAATGAAGCTTCTGGCTTCTACCTGGCCCAGCCCTGGCCACTGCAGCCATGTGGGGAGTGAACTAGCAGGTAGAAGGGGCCTGTCTCTGGGCCTGTCTCTGGGCCTGTCTCTGGGCCTGTCTCTGGGCCTGTCTCTGGGCCTGTCTCTGGGCCTGTCTCACTTTTCAATAAACAAGTCCTCAAAAATCATAAATTCTATAACACAAATATATTACTACAAAAATGTTAAATAGATGATACATTTTAGTTCTCCTAGAGTTTTAATTTTTGCTGGAGGCTGTTTCTTTAAGATCTACTTACTTGAAAGTCAGACAGATTCCCTCCCCTGGTTTACTCCGCTGCTGGTCACAACCACCAGGACTGGGCCAGGCTGAAGCCAGGATCCTCATCTAGGTCCCCTCCCACATGAGTGGCAAAGCAATGAGGCCATCTACCACTGCTTTTCCCAGGCCATGAGCGGGAAGTTGAAAGTGGAGCAGCCGGGATGTGAACCAGCACCCATATGGGATGCTGGTGCCACAGGTGGTGGCTTTACCCACTATGCCACAGCGCCAGCCCCAAGCTCTTCTTGAAAGGGCTGGTGTGCCGGCGCCGCGGCTCACTAGGCTAATCCTCCGCCTTGCGGCGCCGGCACACCGGGTTCTAGTCCCGGTAGGGGCGCCAGATTCTGTCCCGGTTGCCCCTCTTCCAGGCCAGCCCTCTGCTGTGGCCAGGGAGTGCAGTGGAGGATGGCCCAGGTGCTTGGGCCCTGCACCCCATGAGAGACCAGGAAAAGCACCTGGCTCCTGGCTCCTGCCATCGGATCAGCGCGGTGCGCCGGCCGCAGCGCGCCAGCCGCGGCGGCCATTGGAGGGTGAACCAACGGCAAAGGAAGACCTTTCTCTCTGTCTCTCTCTCTCACTGTCCACTCTGCCTGTCAAAAAATAAAATAAAAAATAAAAAAAAAGGGCTGGTGTGAGCCTTTGGCCTGGTGGCTAAGGTGCCCGTGTCCATTTCAGAGTGCCTGAGACTGCTCCCAGGCTCTGACTCTTGACTCCAGCTTCCTGCTAAGGTGCACCCTGGGAGGTAGCACTAGTGGCTCCCTGCCACCCATGTGAGACCGGGGCTGAGTTCCTGGACTCTGGCTTAGAGCTAACTCAGCCCCGATGAGTGGAATGTAGGGAGTGAACCAGTGGATGGGAGTCCTTTCTCTGTCTCAAAGTCTAATATAGGAATGAGTTTTTTTAACACTTCAGTTTTATTGAACCATGTAAAAGTTACCACTTAAATCGTTTCTAAATGTACAGTAGTATCAACTACATGCACATTGTGCAATAGATCTCTCTGGAATTTTTCCCTGGAAAAGTGAAACTCCCCCTTGGACAATTTCCCTTTCCTCATTCCCTCCAGTCCCTGATAACCAGCAATCTACTTTCGGTTTCTAAGATTTTTGACCGGTTTAGATCTTAATCTCTTTGTCTCCCTTCCTCCTTCCCTCTTTCTCTGTTAAGAGTTATTTGAAAGACAGTGACAAGAGGGGGAGAACAGATTTTTCATCTATTCACTCCCCAAATGGCCACAACAGTCAGGTCTAGGCCAGGCCAAAGCCAGGAGTCAGGAGCTCCATCCAGGTCTCCCACGTGGGTGGCAGGGGCCCAGGTACTTGGACATCACTCATTCACTGCCTTCCCAGGTATGTAACAAGGAGTTGGATCTGACACACAGATCTGTTCACTGGCTCATTCCCCAAATGGCTGCAATAGCCAGGGCTGAGCCAGGCTGCAGCCAGGAGCCAGGAGCTCCATCTAGGTCTCCCGCGTGGGTGGCAGGGATCCAAGCACTTGGGCCATCTTCTGCTTTCCCAGGCACATTAGCAGGGAACTGGACGGGAAGTGCAACAGTTGGGTCTTGAACTGGCGCCCATATAGAAATCCGGTGCTGCAGGCTGTGGCTTTAACCTGCTGCACCACAGCGCCGGGCCCCCACATTTCTTCTGTTTATCTGAACATTTGGATTGCTTCTACCCTGGGCTACTGTGGAGAATGCTATAATGAAGATGAGTATGCAAATACGTTGAACATCCTGTTTTCAACTCTTTTGAATATAAACCCAGAAGTGGGATGGCCAGATCATGTGTTAATTCTATTTATAATTTTTTAAGGAACTTCTCCTGTTCTCCTTGATGGCTGCACCACTTTATCTCACTGCCAACAGAGCAAGGGTTCCAATGTCTCCATGTTGTCACTAATGTTTAAAATTGATAGTGATTGTCTTTTGTGTTCTTCGAGATTTCTTTGTTTATGAAAGGCAGAGTGAGGTGTGTGTATGGGGAGGGGGGGGGAGACCTTCCCATCTGATGGTTCACTCCCCAAATGGCCACAGCGGCCAGGAGCCCAGAACTCCGTCTAGCTCTCCCACATGGGTCACAAGGGCGTCCTGGGCTGCCTTCCCGGGAGCATTAGCAGGGAGCAGGATCCGAAGCGGAGCGGTCGGGACTAGAACCAACGCTCTGATATGGGATGCTGACTCTGTAGCCTGCCCCAGTAGTGGCCACCTTAACAGGCGTGGGGTGAGAACTTCAGTGGTTTAGATTTGCATTTCCCTGATGCCTGGTGATCAGCACATTTTCCCAGCTTGTACATCTTTGGGTAACTGTATTTAAATCCTTGGCTTACTTCTACATGGAGTTACTTGTTTGTTGTTAAGAATTATTTTATTCTGGATATCCTCATCAGACGGTTAAAATATTTTCTCCCATTCCGTGTGTTGCCTTTTCACTGTTTGCTTTGCTGTGCATATGTTTTTTAAGCTTGATGGATTCCCCTTTGTTAGCTTTTGTCCTATCCAGGGAGCCATTCCCGAATCCATATCCTGGAGCTTTCTCCCATGTGTGTTCCCTGTAGTTGCAGGTCCCACACTTAGGTCTTTAATGTGTTTTTTGTTTTTGGTTTTAGTTATGAGTTAGAATTTTGCGTTTCCTGGTTTGCTCTCCAAACCCAAAACGGCCGGAAAGCAGGAGCCTGCAGCTCCATCTGGGCCTCCCATGTGGTGGAGGGAACCAAGCACTTGGGCCATCTTCCCCGGGCTCTCCCAAGCGCACCAGCAGGGAGCTGGGCTAGAAGCCTAGGGGCTGGGACTCCATGCAGCGCTCTGATGCGGTCTGCTGGCCTCGCAAACCGCGGTGCCACCCTGCAGGCCCCTTTATTCCATTGAGTTTTTATAGATGGTGAAGGGTAAGGGTTGGGGTCTGTTCCGTTGCGTGATGTTACCCAAGTCTCCCGGCATTGGCTACTGAGGAGGCTGTCCTCCCGCTGTGTCCCCGGCCCCCGGGTAACGTGAGATCCTCGGTGCAAGCTACAGATCCCGGTGCATCCCCAATTAGTCGGGGCTCACGGATGAGCCCCGGTGCCCTGTGCAAGGTCACGGGGCGCGCACACGGATGGAGGCTGGCTCGGAACCGAGGACCTCCACTCGAGCGCTCACACGCTCCTAACCCCCCGCGGCTACTCGCTGCTAGATCCCCAGCACGCCACAGAGAATGAATGAACGAATGACTCGCCGCGGGCACAGCGCCCCGAGCTCCGCTCCGGAGCACACGCAGGCGCTCGGACGAGCCCATTGCCCCGCATAGGGGAGTGTGCCCACCTCGCGCATGCGCGCCGCGCTCCGTCGGCCCGCCTGCACATGGTACGGCCTCCTCTGCGTGGTACGTCCCGCCTTCCCCTGCGCCAGGGCCGGGGTGGTAGACACCGCCTCTGCGCGCTGCCCCTCCCCGTTGGTTTCCGCGCGAAAAGCCGGGGCTGCCTGCGCTGCTGCTGCCGCTTCTGCTGCAGCGTCCGCGATGCCGGCCCGCACCGCCCCAGCCCGTGTGCCTGCTCTGGCCGCCCCGGCCATCTCGCTGCCCGATGATGTCCGTAGGCGGTAGGTGCTGCGTGGGGTGGGGGCCTGGACTTGGGGCTGGGGTGGGGGGTGGGAGGCAGGGCGCCGGGGTGGGGGGTGGCTTCCCCTCAGGGTGGCCCGTGGTCGCTGCTGACAGCCGGGCGCGCATGCGCTGGGCAGTGGGGCGCGCGGCGGCGGTTGGCGCGGGCCGGGTGGCACTTCCGGTCGCGCGCGTCCCTGGGCATTTGGCGCCAAAATGGGCCGAGGCCCCTCGTAGCTCCTTGGTGACTAGAAACTTGGGGGTGGCGTCTCGTTGGATTCTTTGCCCCTCGCCCTGCCCTAAACACGACAAACTTCGCAGTCCCTGTCTTTCCGAGCGGCCGTGGGCCGGGCTCCTGCCGCCAGCCTGGTCGCGCAGGAAGTGGGCAGCCCGGGGCCTCCGGACAGCCCCCGGCCCCGACACTCGGGCTTCCACTTCCGGCGCCCGGCCCGATTCTCTGGGGGCGCTTCAGGGGGCTCCCGGGTAGCCCCCGAGCTGTGTGTCCCGATCACGGCCTCCAGGGATGGACCTTGCCCAATGGGGGTCCCCGGAGCGCGGGGCCCACGTTGGCGAGCCTGGGTTTCCGTGGGGGGCTCCCTCCTCCCCCTTGGGTCACCTGGGGACTGCAGGGGTCTTCCTCGCCCCGCCGGGCAAGGCGTGTTCCGTGCACGCAGGGGTTAGTGCCAGGGCCCGGATCCTAGCAGCCTGCAGGCTACTCAATGGTCACTTCTAGCAAACCTGCAGCTGGGAGCTGTGGGCACCAAAGTCGCTGAGTTTTGCAGCGCGCGCGTGTGTGTAGGGGGCCGGTGGCCAATGTCGGGGGCCCCGGCCGCAGTAATTGATGACTCCGTCGAGGCTTCGGCGCACAGCGTTGGGCGGGAACATGGGCCCTGGTCTTTGGATCCTGGAGGGCATCGATTCATTCCTGAAAACTTGTTGCGAGGGAGGTGTGCATGAGTCACGCGAAGCCTGGCCGGGCCTGGGCGCTTCCAGCCGGGTCTGTGTACCCTCTCGTGGCTGCTACTCTAAAATTTACCCCCCCCCCGGGGGGGGAGGGCTGGGGAGTCATGCCAGGCATTTGGAGGTGGGGTAAGATGCGGGTGGGAGTCTTTTGTTCTCGGTGGATTTGTTTGTTTCAAAGACATACAGAGATATAGAGATAGAGAGCTCCCATCGACTGATTCACTCCACAAATTGTGCAAGGAAACCAGGAGCCTAGGATTCCATCGGGGGCTCTGATGCGGGTGTAGGGGCTCCGGGCACTTGGGCCGTCTTCCGCTGCCTTCCCGGGTACATAAAGAGCGAGCTGGACGGGAGGTAGCGCACTCTGGACTCCAACCAGCACCCCCAGGCTGGTATCGCAGGTGGTGTCCTAACCCACTGTGCCACCACACCGGGCCCTTAAATTACTTCACCACAGTGAAGAGTGGGTAAGTGTGTCTTGTTGAATAACTTTTTCTTTAAAGAAAATTTTTATTTGAGAAGTAGAGTTAGAGAGGGGTCTTCAGTCTGCTGGTTCACTCCCTAAATGGTTGCAACGCCCGCAGCAGAGCTGAGCCAATCCGGAGCCAAGAGCGTCTTCCAGGTCTCCCACGTGGGTGCAGGGGCCCAAGCATTTGGGCCATCTTCTGTCTTCTCAAGCCATAGCAGCGAGCTGGGTTGGAAGAAGAGCTGCTGATACTAGAACCGGCACCCATATGGGATGCCGGCGCCGCAGGCAGAGGATTAACCTACTGTGCTGTAGCACCGGCCTCGCTGAATCATTTTTACCATGATCTGCATCCCCCCAGTTCTGTCTGAAAAGCTGTGAGGTTTTTTCATCTACTGTCTTATTCCCCAGGTGTTGGGGCTGGGCCACGTTGAAGCCAGGAACCCTGGACTTGCCTGGGTACAGCCCCTCTGGGTGGCAGGGGCCCAAGTACTTAAGCCATCACCCACCGCCTCCCAGGGTGTGGGTTAGCAGGGAGCTGGATCAGAAGCGGAGGACTCGGGTCTGGAACCCCGGCATTCCGATATAGGATGCCGACATCCCGGGCAGCAATCTAGCTGCCGCGCCGCATGCCTGCCCCTAAGCTAACTTGAGGCGGAAGCAGAATTGGACAAGTACTGGCTTTTGTGGCCTAATCAGGAGTTTGGACCCAGTTTTGTCTGAATTCTACCTTCACCAGCTCCTTGGTGACCTTGGACGAGCGTATGCTATCGCGTCATCTGAAGACGCGTGATCCGGGCGTTGAACTCGTATCGGGTTCACTGAGAATACGCTTGGTACACAGAGGCTCCCCTAACATTGCCAACAGCAGTTTTGGCTTTTCTCCAGGTCCGCTTATCAGCCCCTAACTGGGAGGTACCTTGTTTTTTAAACTTAACCTGAGTTTATTAACATTCTTTTACTCGAACGAGTTAAAGGGAGAGACAGAGTCCTTCCGTCTGCTGGTTCATTCTCTGGATGGTCTCAACAGCTGGGGGCTGGGCCAGGCCTGAGCCAGGAGCTTCCTCTAGGTCTCCCACGAGGGGAGCAGGAGCCCAAGAACTTGGGCTGTCCTCTGCTGTTTCCCAGGGCATTGGCAGGGAGCCGGGTCGGAGGTAGAGCAGCAGGAAGGAACCAGCTCCCGTGTGGGGTACTGGCGTTGTGTAGGTGGTGGCTTTACCCGCTGTACGATGCTGCCCCATGGGAAGTGCTTCGAATGACCTCCTTGACTCCTCAAGGGTTCTTAAGCTTGGGAGTTGCAGGAGTTAAAGGCTAGGAGGCAGGGAGTCCCGGGAAGGTCCCTTCAGTTAGGGGCTGTGACTAGGCCACGGGCCCAGGGGCTCTACTGGGCGTGGGTGGGTGTTTCTTGGCTACTTTTGAGTATCTTTAGGTGAGTCCTAGAATTCTCAGTTCATCCTAGGTTCTCTTCCTAAAGTTTTTAAAAAATCCTTGTTGGAAAGGTAGAGAGATTCCATCTACTCGGTCAGTACTCAAATGCCAGCAGCAACTGGGATCCGCCCAAGTGTGGAATTGTTCAGCTCTGCCATGAGTGGCAGGAACCCAACTTCTTCCCAGGGTGTGCATTAAAGAAGCTGGAGTCAGAACTCGGACACTAGGACAGGATGCGAGTTAGCACCCCAAGCCATGTCTGAACCGCTGTGCCAAGCGTCAGCCCATAGTCCCCTGTTTGGTATGTGTTTGGTGACCCTCGGTCGGCCTATTCTTCCTTGAAGACTCATTTGAAAGGCAGAGTGATGGGAGGGAGAGACAAGGAGAGTGAGCTTCTACCTGCTGGCTCGTTCCCCAAACGGCCGCAGCAGCCAGGCCTAGGCCAGATGGCCAGGAGTCGGGACCCCAAGTGCTTGGGCTGGCACACGCCGCCTCCCAGGCGCATCATGATGCAAGAAAGTGGGGTGGAGGTGCCGAGTGGCCAGGAGGGAGCCGGCTGTGCGACATGGGGCGCGGGCATCCTGGTGGCTGCTTAGCCCCCTGTACCGCAGGCTTTAGTTCTATTTGAGCCTCTCAACTGACTTCTATGCTTGGAAACGTTTCCTTGCGTAAAAAGTACATACACAAAGGTGCATCCAATAGTCCCTGAAACTTAGGTTTGTAAGTAAAGGCATGACTTGTCTTGACGGAGGGAAGACTAGAAGTGTAATCCAAGAGCTTCTAAAATCCGGTTGAACGGCACGCTAGGAGCTGGGTTAGACCGGTCCTCCCTTGGACAGCCTTGGTGACTGCTCTTGTACCTGTATGGCAGCTTCTTGTCTGTGTGGAGACAGAGCACCTATCGGCTGGTGCACTCCCTGATGCTGAATGCTAGCCTGGGCCCGGCAGAAGCAGGAAGCGGGGGACTCCATCCAGGTCTCCTGGGTGGGTGGGTGGCGGGAATCTAGTGCCTGGAGCCATCGCCTTTGCTTCCCGGGTCAGTGTGAGCAGGGAGCCGGGGTCAGGCGGTGGCCCGACCCGCTATGCCACAGCGCCGGCGCCCAGCTTCTCAAAGCTCTTGTGCATTACAAATATGAATTTCAGATTTTGTTTATCAGAATCTTAATTCCGTTTTCTGTAAACCTTCTGAAGTTCCCTTGTAGTTCTATCAGATGGATAAGGTTACTAGAAAGTAGTTTCAACATTTGGATTTCTAAGTCTTGTAATTTTTTAAGTAAAATATACCTCAAGTCTTTTATACTTCGTGCCTTTATAGGCAAGCCTGTTTTTTCTAGAAGATTTTATTTACTTGAGAGGCAGAGAAGAGTCTTCCATCCGCTGGTTCACTCCCCAAATGGCCAATGGCCAGAGCTGGGCTGATCCGGAGCCAGAAGCTTCTTCCAGGTCTCCCATGTGAGTGCAGGGGCCCAGGCATTTGGGCCGTCTTCCACTGCCTTCCCAGGCCGTAAGCAGAGAGCTGGATCTGAAGAGGAGCAGCGGGGACATGACCTGGCGTCCATATAGCATGCTGGCGCCGCAGGCGGAGGCATAGCCTACAGTGCTGGCCCCTCTTTTTTAAATCTTGTTTGAAAGACTGACAGATCTTCTAACTGCTGATTTGCTCCCTAAATGGCCACAGCAGCTGGGGCTGGGACAGGCTGAATCCGGGAGCCAGAACCTCCATCGGGGTCTCCTCTGTGGGCGGCAGGGCCCCAAGCACTTCAGGCCATCTTCTGCTTTCTCGGGTGCATTGGCAGGGAACGAGGTTGGAAGCAGAGCAGCAGGGACTTCGTACTGGCCGTCTGGGATGGGATGCCGGTGTTGGAAGCGGTGACTTGACCTGCTGCGCCACGCTGCCGGCCCCAACAAGCCCGTTTCTCAGCTGCTTGTTCTGTTCCAGCTGCCGCCATCTGCACGGTGCAAGTGTCTTCCTCCTGTCTCCTTGCTGCCGCTCAGATCTCTCTAGAGTGGAAGTGTAATTGCCTTCAGACGCGAGTGGGGGCTGGTGGCTTCCTGCCGCAGGCTCTGCGTGGGGCATGGAACCTGGGGACCAGAATTCCATCCGCAGCCCCAGCATGCACTCTGCTCACAGCAGTGGAGACCATC